ATTTGTCAAAAATAAAATATCTGTTTGATACAAAAGGAATATTTTCTTTGATTTAAATGATATTATTGCTTTATTCAAACAATATTATCATTTCATAGAAAATATGTGAAAAAATATACGGTTTTACTCAAATAATTATTTTATGTTACTTTTTTACTTTAAAACAATTCCTTGTTACGTTTAAACAAGTAACCTTTTTAAATCAAATATTTTTTATTATTTTAGATTGATTTTTCAACCTCTTGCTTACCAGTATACACATTCATCTTTTTCCTTCTACATTAGAAGAAGAAAGATAAGCACTGAATTAGTGCACTATGTTCAGCTATAAAGAATAGACCATTAGATGATTATATTGTGTCTGCTGATACCGTCGCTTATATGTCCCGCCCCCGTGATTTTACTTACGAATTCGGCGGCCATCTAGTGGCAGCACCGAACTTGATAGGCGCCTGGCCAAATAGACGAAGTCGTTTCCGTAATTTCAACCAAATACATATAATGATTATTCTAATAAAGAAATTATTTCCACGAAACAACGCCTTTCAGTGTATTTTGCTATTTCCACATAAATAAATTTGTTGTTTCATTATACATATTTATTGTAACCAAATAATATATTATTTCGTTAAAATATAATACTTCAAATAATAGTGTTTTCAAATAATACAGGTTGTTTGAACGAAACAACAAAATTTTTATTCAAACATATAAAGTTTCGCATAAGCATATGTTGTTTCAATGGCACAAATTTCAATCAAATAAATAGGAATACTAAAACCAAAGAAACCTCTCTCTCTGTGTACACTGTCGGTAGTTGCCACTTTCCTTCGGGCGATTCCGAAAAATACCGGTGTCCGTGGATTTGAACTCGGATCTTTCGCACATTCCTCTGTGCCACACTCGCCACCATTGATAATAGTGATAATAGTGATAATTCAAAATAATTGGTAATCGTGATGGTAACAGCACAGTATATAACTAGTAGGTCCATTCTCTGCCGGCCCCTTTAATCATTGCGATCTTGATCATGTGGTATTCCGCCATATACCCGGGCAGGATCCAGTGACGTGTATGTGTGTGTACTCATCAAAGTCACACTACCTCACATACAACTTTTCTCTCATTGGTCTGCCCAGAGCAATGCGCAGAAGGAATCGACGCGAAACGAAATGACGAAGTGGACCTACTGGTTATACTATGGTAACAGTAATACTTTTTTTAATTATTCGCACGTGCCATCTGTTATTCGAGTAAAGAGTGAGAACAAGTGTCCATAGGCAAATGGCCTCATTTTTGGTCACAAAGTAAGTACCAAACGAAAGGCCTCGTCAAGCTGATTACAGATATGTCGGTCTCAGATTGTACCTATTTAACGTTCCAGAGATATCGGGCTCCAAAAATTCCATTCCACCCCAAACAAATGGTTGGTGTCTGTCCAGACGGCTTCATCGCTTACGTCCGAGGAATTTTTAGAGCCCGATGTCACTGGAACGTTAAACAGGTACACTCTGAGACCGACGTATCTGCGATCATCTTGACGAGACCTTTTTTTTGTACCTGATTTGTGACCAAAATCGAATGCGACAAAAATGGGGCCGATCTTGTTCTCGCTCTTTACAACAAACCGGAAAGATCAAACGATCCCGGATCTCCGCGCACCTTTCTTCCCATCTCACAGCAACATTGTACTTCATTGCGCATTATAATTGGCAAACGTACACTGCGAAAGCTATGATTAAGCTTCACGGTAAGTCAGACGTGGTTTATGCGCCAGTAAAGCCGCTCGTTAAAATTTTTAAGTCGGCAACCGCGAGAATTTTACAATCCTGTTTATGTCCCGCGGCACATCAAGATGTAAAACCGTGTTCCTCTTATCGCGAAAGTTGCCCGACGCGGCAGACATAACCGGGTAATAAATTATTTTTCATTCGGGACATTTTGTGTCATTCGCACATGATGCTCCAGCTGTAAAGTTCCATTTTCCCAAACGGGTGTTCAGCAAAATTCGAATCTCGAAAGTATTTCCGCGTCAGATTAATCTTTCTTTAAAAACCAAGTACACGGAAAAAGTGTCAGACCAACTCTTACATACGCGAATTAACGCGAGAATCGTTTTGTATATACGCAACAATCTATAATCTTCTTAGAAGCATTTAATAATCTTACAATATTGCAGTCTTATTTAAATACGAAAGAAAAATGTCACTTATAGTCGCCCCAGTGACGATTAAAAATTTAAAAAGTGAGCATGTCAACCCCCAACTGGCAAATTTTATTGAATTCGATACAACGAATTTTCGACCTTACTTCAGGTCCTTTTCAAGTAACAATACAAATGAGAGAAGAAGAAAAATCCGTAGTCAAGCGAGTCATCGTCAACTGTGAGATAGAGTCAAAAGATAAAAATAAAAGCACATCCGAACATTACGGAAGTTCGATTTGAAAGTTCAAATTTGAAGGTGAAGTTTGCCAGTTGGGTTTTGACAATAAGCTCACTTTTTCATTCTTATTTTAATACTATAATTGTCACTTTAAAACTGCATATAACTATTTTGGCAATAAAATCGTTTTAATCATTGTGATCTTCGATTTGAAAACTGTCACTTTCTATCCAATATTGTTTCCTTTCCATTCAAGAAAATTATTCTTAAATAATAAACATATATTTCTTGACTGAATTATATAAAATTGCTTCACTTACGTAAGTTTTCCTTCCTTTATCGCATCTCTATAATCTCATTTCAAGATTTTCACGTTGAAACTAAATATATTTTCAAAGAAGAATATTCTTGTTTTCTGTGTACGCAAATGATACACGTCACAAATGCAAAGGCAGCGAGAGAGAGGGGGGGGGAGGGAGGACATGATGGAGTGTACATCCAGGCACGTTCTACCGGGTCAATATAGGTTGCTATCGTGACTATTATGTGAGAGGCCAAATCATTACGACGAACACGTACGTTGATGTGTGCGTTATTACGAAAATGATGCCACTGAATTGAAGCTGTGATCTACCGGAGGACTGAAACCGTCTCGTTGCCAGTCAATTCTCAATCGAGTTATCGCACTTTGTTAAATACGTTACGTTTTAATCGCCTTCCGGTGTCGCGAGGGGAGGGGGCGCGTCTAAAAAAGACCCGTTTTTAATAAGTGCAGTCAATAGCGAGGGGATTAAAACTAACGATGTTTTCCTTTTATCAATTCAATGCGCGCTGATTAAGTCTGGATGCGGGAAGAATCGAACGAGGCGTAGGGAAAAAGCTTTGTGCGTAGCGCTGGAAATGAAGTGGAAAATCGAAGACAGTCGGAGAGGCGGCTCCGATATTGGAGACGCCATAGGCGTGCGATAAAACGCGTCGCGCGGTAAACAAGATTGAGCGCGCCGGCGCTCATTTGAAAAGTAGCAAAAAGTTCCGCGAGCATTCTTCCAAGAGGAACGGCAAGACTAACTCGATTTGCAGAGGGCCGGATAATAGTCCGAGCCATTTTCAAAATTACCCTCCCCCAAGTAATTCTCGTAAGAAACGAGGCGATACACGAACCTTGTTCTCGAGAGGGAGAGACGGGCGTGGGTGGAGGCGATACACCCGGAACGGGAGTACCGAAATGAAAATCGAAATTTCGATCTCGAATATCGCTGTCGACTCGAGCCGCGCTAATCGGATCCTCGATAACGGCAGCAACGTGACCCGGATTTGAGACGTTTATATTCGAAAGTGAATCCGCAAACTCGCGCGGGGGGGAGCTATTATATTACAGGCATATAATTACGTTTAAACGCGATTCGACTGGTTTTACTTGGGCGGAATCGCCGTCAGATTCGATTGCGCTCATCAATTAATTCGGAGCGTAGTTAACTATAACGATTCGGAAGCTTGCGTGTGGCGTGCCATTACGACCGTTGTTAAAATGTCAGGCGCATTCAATCGCGGACGGAATTACGAGGACGCGCGCTATGAAGTTCGTTCGATTGCAAATCAGTTTAACCGCGAGTACGAATATAACGCGCGCGGGTCCCGCGAAATTATTTACGAGACGGCCCAGCGACGTTCAAATTCTAATTTTCCCCGAAAATTTTGTGCGCCCATAATAAAAATTTAAATAATTAAAGGCTCGCCGCGGAAATTATTTAATTCCGGCACTCCTGCAGTTTGCCGAGTCTGCGGCAGTAATTTTAATTAAGCGTAATAATTGATTCCATACTCACGTGGCGTTTGTATTTTTCACAGTTTCATTAAAATTTTTGTCTCACGGATCGATAAATAAACATTTTTATAATTTCCCCGCGTTTATGAATGGAATAAGTTTTAAAAGTAATCATTAAATTTGCTTTTTATTACCCGTGAAAAGCGCCAGTTTCCATTGGTCGGACAACATACAAAAAAAGTGCATAAAAGTATAAAAAGATATTCACGAAAACTCGTCAAGGTATAATCGTTTCATCAGCAAATGGTTATTTCGCACAATGAAGGACGCTGAGTGCCAGCTGTAATCAATCGAACGACAATTATCTCATGGCTAATGCCCGATGAACCCGAAAAAGCGTATTATTAAACGAGACAAGATCAGAAATAATCTCTGTGACGACACTTAATATTTCACATGGATTCTATCTCCGTATCTCCACAGAAGACACTAATAGCTTTGTACCTCAAGATTGCATATACTTTACGATATCGACCTCGCTTCTGCGCAAAGAGAGGTTCAAATATAACGAGATTGTTAAAACCAATGTTCTCCGAGTTCCTCTCGGCACAGTGTATCAATAGAAGCTTAAAAGCGTCGGTAACGGTCTCGCGATACCTAATCCTTAATGGTTATTAATCGAGCCTGCCTAAGCTTTCCGTTCGACGGGACGATTTACGACGACAGCCCGGTCTGCCTTTTATCCCCGACTCGCGATAAATTCGCGATTAATAACGCGCGCGGGGTCTCGGGGGGGCAAAAGGTTTCCGCGCGGGGCGGATTAACAGCGGACTCGTCAAACATCGACTTACCAGCGAGAACAGTCAGAATCTCCCTCCAGCTGAGCGTAACGTGTAAATCCACGTCCTGCCGGCCGTTCGCAGCATCCGGTCCTCGTGCCCGGAATAATCTGTATTGTCCGGAACACGCTCCGGACTCGCCCTCGCGGACGCGTCAACAGATGAGGGCCACCCTGCACCGCATGCCTACGCCGGCTCGTACGGAGTCGAGAGTCACACGGGGCGCGCACTGTTGGACCGCGTGAAAAGCGCGAGTTTACGAACTCTTCCGGGGTCAATTCGCGGCACCTACGACTCTTGCGACCGACGAGAATTTCGATCGCGCCGGGACGACACTCCTCAGGATAAGGCCAATCTGTCCAGCAACACGTTCAACGACCGGATAAGAGAGCGATAATCGAAGGAATGTTCATTTCTGGCCGCTAACCGCTCGTGTACGTTACGTGCGAGACCCCGCTCGGAAGCTGGGAACGATCAATCATTACGCGGTTATTAAAGGCGCGACTGAACACGAGACGTGAAGCTACACGACCGGACGATTCCTATGAATTATCGACAGCCGGGGCAAGTTCGGCGATGATAACGCTCTAATGATTTCTGCAGTTCCCTGCGAAACTCCCGCGATCGCGGAAAAGTCCGGCAAAGTTTCGCGGCGGCTGCGAAGGGGCGAGGGGAGAGGGAGAAGGAGAGAGGGTGACGAAGCACGCCGGTCTCGATCACGAAACGTTTCGGTGAAATCTCGCTAGCCCAGGACGATCGTCGCCGTCGACGACGACGACGACGACGAGTACGGGCCGAGCTTCAGTTCGCGCGTCAAACTTTCCGACGACTGGTCCCCGTCGGTCGCTCGTACCCCTGTATCCCGAGGAAGGGTCCCCGAGAGCGAGATCCGTGGTTGCGCGATCGCGTCTGAGGGAGCATCGCGCTACCGATTCACCCCGGCATCCGATCCCGGCACGTTCATCTCACCCACCACCTCGACAACTCGCGAGCGGATCACCGAGACTCTCGACTATCTCGGCATCGCCTCGATATTTGTCGGCGAGCGACACGAAAGCGTGTCCGATATCTGATAACACTGTGGGACAGGTCACAAGTAATACGCCGGCGAGGGACGGCGTTCTACGCGCGTAATCCTGGACTCTTGACCGCTCGACGAAGAGCTGGATGAAGGATTCGCCGGAGTTTCGTAGAGTAGAATATTATCCGCTTCGGATGACGATTTTCCACCGGCGCGGGGGATGTCGTGCAGTCGCTCGTCGAGGAATTACGCCGTGACGTGCCGGGGGTCACGCGCAGGTAGCACGTGACACGCGCGACGCCCGCGTGTCGCGTGGACGTGGGTCGTGACGGTGAGACGAGGGAGACGCGTAGGGTCCACGTTACCCCTAGGCACGCGGGGCGCCCGACGTGACGCTCTGGTCGGGTCTGTGTACCGGGGTGCTACTGGGGATAGCCGTATGCTTGTTTTTGCAGAGCTACGCGGCGAGAGAGTGAGACTGGGAGCATAGTGGGAGATACAGGGTGAGAGAGGCTCGGGAACGAGAGGGAGGAGCGGGCTGGTCCAAGCGAGACGGGCAATTCGGCGGAGGGGTTGAACGAGGACGGCGGTAACAGCGGCGGGCGGAAGAGCACGAGAGGGTTGACAGGGGATGAAGCGAGAGGAGGAGAAAGAGGGAGAAAGAGAGGAATCCACCCCGGTCGGGTGGACTCGGCTGGTCTCGACGACGAGCGACGTCGCGACGGCGCAGCAGTCACCAGGACTACCATCCCTCTCCACGTTCTCTCCCTCCCGCCGCGACGATGGGCGACCCTTCACGCCACCATCCACCTCGCGCTGCTTGTCGACCCCCGTACCCCGCGCCTTTTCCAGGGCCATGGATCGATCTCGACGTCCGTCCGTGCATCCGTACGTACATCCGTCCGTAAACTTGCCGCCGCGGCTACGTTATGCCGGGTGTGTATCCGCGATCAGCCAAGACGTATGCACGAGTGTCTGCGTGCGTGACAGGGCGCGTCTCGTCGTCGGGAACGCGTGTCAAATTCGCGACATCGAGCCGACGGGGTCTTTCTCTCTCTCTCTCTCTGTCTCTATGATACGAGTGCACTCGATCGTGCGGCGCGCGTTTCGCTCGGGAAAAGAACCCGCGTGGACCGCGCGTGCAGTCATTACCATGTTGCAAGAATACCAGGTGTAACATTCCCGTGGATGCGCCACTCGTGACCAATCAGAGGATTTGCCCCAAACCTTTAAACTGCACGTCATTGCGGTTGAATGCAGCAAGAACCAGTGAACAATTTGCCCCCAAAATTGGTTACATGCGCAATGTTTCGCCTTGTATCTTTACATCATGGTCGTTACTAACGATAAGGGCGCACGTTCAATTCCGTAGCCGCCGATCGGGATCTGCCTGCCGTAGATCGTCAAAGTAGTTTAATCTGTTCCGCGGATCTTCTTTTTCTGCCCCCCCCCCCTGTCCAAGTACCACGTTATGCGGTGATTAACGGGATTCCGGGCGGATGGCTAAGCCGGAGGAAGCTGGCTTGAAAAGTTAACGAACGTTATTTCGCGCGATACGAATACAATTGCAAGTTATGGCGGGAACACGTATGCTGGTGCGCCAAGTTCGTCTTTCGTATGTTTGGTTCTCGACAATTCGCACGGTAGTATATCGCAAGGAGAGCCTCTCGCGTTGGTGCAAACTTACACAACGGCCATATGCGCGCTTATCTCCTGACATTTCGTTTTAGTGGCGCGCACTAAACTCGCTCGCGCACGCACCCTGAATTCGTAGCTTGTACACTTGCAATTTCTCATGATGCAAGTATGCCCCCTTAGTAAGATCGGATGTTTACTTTGCCATTAAGAGAAACGGTTTTTCACTTTGCAAAGTGATAAACGAGTCAGTGCGAATAGCTTCCTCTCTCAAGCTTGCGCGAGCAATCCATTACGCGGAAAACTGATATATTTGACACATGATAAAAGATCCAACTTGAAAAGACTGAACAATGTGAAAAATAAAAATTTCAAGGATGGCTATTGTAAAATAAAGACAGATTGTTCGAGCGTGAATTATTTCACGCCAAAGGATATAAATGTATGTACATGAGATAGGCTTTAAAGCTTATGTTCATCAGCTCAAAGATCTTCAGAAGAAACAAGATTATCTAATCATTTTATCAATGGCTGTATGTATACACGTATACGTACATGTGTGTGTGTGCGCGCGCGAACAGGTACCAACCCAAATACCTGTTCCCTATGCCTTTTGCGAAGGTGTTTCATACGAACGTAGTTGGCTTCGAAGGGGGGCGTAAGATGGTGGCAATTACGTGAAGGTAGCCGTTTGGTGGTCCCCTTTAATTTTTTAGACGGAAATCTTTATTTTTCATTTCTTCCAACCTCCTCGACAGCTCTTCAAAACACTATGATTAAGATAATACGAAAGATTGGAAATGCGTGTTATCATACTGTGAACCAGCACGGTTTTGTTCGTTTACAGGTTGCCCAAGAGGTTGCCTACACGGAGAGAATTTTCTCGTAAAATTTACCCCGACGATATTGTAATCGCGGGACAACATGGCATTTTGAAGAACTTTATGAGAGTTTTTTAAAATTTTATCATACATTTTACTAGTAATTACACTTACAATTAGTACACATGTTACTAATAAAATGCATGGTAAAATTTCAAAAAAACTTTCATAAAATTCTCCGAAATGTCACGTCGTCGCACGATTATACGATTTTCAGGATAAATCTCAAGAGAAAATTCTCCGTGTAGGTAGAGGGCCATTCATTAATGCCTGGACCTGCATTTTTATCATCATTTTTTTTATCTATACAAATCACTGAGTTTCAGGCTGTATGTATGTATGTACTACTTCTATAGAAGTCTGTGTGTACTACAGTGTGAAATTCGTCGATGTATAGATGGGAATGAAGATTATGAAAATGTGATCCTATACTAAAACCGAGATCCAGGCATTAATGAATAGCACTGCACGTTACAAATAATAATAGAGAAGACTGGCAATCAATGTGACATCAAAATATGAACTTGGACCGGTTATCACTGATGATACATCTAGGCAATCTCTTGGACAACCTGTAGATGAACAAAAGCATGCCGGTCCAAGTTCACATCACGATGACACAATGGTAATCTTTTGTATTATTGATAATACTTAATTATAGTGCATCGAATAGCTCTCGAGATCAGTTACAAGAAATGAAAAATAGAGAGTTCCATATAAGAAATTGAAGACGACCACCAAACAACTATCTTTACATCATTGCCGCCATCTTACGTCCTCCTTCGAGGCCAACAATTTTCGTATGAAATATTTTTTCTGCAAAAGGCACAGGGTAAAGATATTTAGGTTGGTACGTCAAAATGTCTCACCCGGTATATGTAGATACAATATTACAAGAGATAAATATTTTCCTGCGATCTGCGCAATGTTCGAAAAATGTATACTCGAAAAAATTCTAGATTAAATTCAAACATTCCAGATTAAAAAAAATATTACTATTCGTTATATTTCATTTCAATTCTTTTGCCCCTATTACTTTTCTAATTAATCAAAAATTTAAGTAATTATAACGTATTTAATACTAAAAGTTTAATATTGTTAGTATATCAAATCCTCCCACGGTGCGCTTAACTCAGCTTTTGAAAAACTTTTGTGTGTAAAACTTTCGAATGTAGAATGCGTTCTAGAATTAAATATTTTAATCCTTATCTGCCCTAGCCTGTTTATTTTAAGCAATGTATCTGTGACACGTCATATTCGTATGTAATAGTTTCCTGTTGTTGACTCAGTGTACATTGTATATCTGATGTCACGTGTTTTATTTCTCACAAATCCGTTACTTCAATATATTATAAAATAAAAGATAATTTGAAACTCACGGAAACGACGCGCAGCAGCGGAGTTATGAACTACGCTGCGAACTACGTTGAACTGTAAAATACAAATATATTCAAGTTATTAAAACGCAGAGGTAATTAATGTTTTTTGTTATTTATCGCGCGCATTGAATTTTTTACTCATCTTCGAGCAAATACTTAACAACGTAATTACACAATTTTCACCAAAAATATCTCTCTTTCTCTCTCTTTTTCAAATGCAATCCTCCGTAGCACCGCATGAATAAAAGTCTAACTCTTGTTTAAAATTTTCAAATAATCGATACCACCGGGACGATCTACACGCGGAAATAAATATCGCGAATAATAATAAAATAGTATATTATACATAAATGATAAATTAAACACCCACCCCGTGGTCGCCCAGCCGCTGCCTGGTGTCTCCCGGACCTCCTCCTCTCAGATTCGCTGGCCACAATTAGCAAAACACTCGCGAAAATACGGTTAATTATCGCGGCCGTGCAGCACTTTGTGCAGCAATTCGGAAGTGATTGCAACAACGGACGTACGAGAGACTTTGTGCGGCATCCCCGAAACAATTGTAACAGTGCAGCGATCGCGCGAGGATCGCACTCCCGCAGCGATTGTTACGGCGCCGACGATCGTGCGAACTTTACGCGACATTCCCGAAGCGACTGTTACAATGTCGACGATCGCGCGAGACTTTGTGCGACACTCCCGATCGCGTGCCCTGCGCGCTTGGATACTTAGCTACCCTTTCGGAGCAAGTTCTCCGAATACTGAGCCGTTCCACCGCGAGATGTAACCGTGAGGGAGTATCGTCGTAAGCAGACACAAGATTGAAGAAACGAGCACCGAATGCCGCGTGTATACCGGCCAATCCGTCGCTATTACAGAACATTCAGCTGTAAAATACGCGTATTCGCGCGTCACTCCGAGTTCTCGATCTAAAAATGCGTTTAAATCGAAGCGAGATGTATACTTCGATGCGAGCGACGTTAAGGAAGAATCGCATGTAACGAGCAATAATTTATAGGCTTCGATTTTCTTCTATCTCGAACGTCTAACTCGCACGAGATATCCACCTCGAGGAATCGTCGTCTCGACGTGATCGCAAGTTCAATTAGTTGATCTTGAGAAGCGATCGATCGCACGAACTGATAATTAATCGTTCACGCGGAACGCTTCTCGCGTTTCGGAGAGCGCGAAGAATAGCGCGACATTGAAGGCCCACGCGCTGAGAAAGAAAACGACGATCGTCGAGGCTGTGTATTTGACTCATTGTCCGAGTCGCTGTTACCAAGGGGGTAACCACTTAATGTAATCGTGGGACAGTGTCTCCGAAATCATTATGATATCCTTACGAAATCCCCATATAATCGTTTTGTCTTCATTTTCAAGTTTCTTCACTTGTTAGACAATAAACATTAAATTTCAACATTTTCTCAACTTGTTTTTATTTTACAACGTCAGTGTTTTCTTGACCATACCTGGCATTTTTTAATAATACAGACAATTTATTGCGAAAAATGTTACCTCAGCCAGGGTTTGAACCTGGACCTCCCTACACTCCAGAGCGTCTCACCAATTCGACCACCGAGGCATATGATAATATTCGTCGCAATAACAATCTAAAAATATCTACGCGTCTATTTCG